TCACAAATATGCTTATTTAAGATCGTTACAGAAATTTGTTTCCCTTCTTCCAAAGAGTATGTTTTGAGAGCTAAAAATCATCCTATCATATTTGGACAAGTAGAAGTAGTGACTGCTAAGGATCAAGTGATTACTTCCTTTAAAAGTTGTGTATGCTACATTTGATAATCACAGCTTCTAATTCTCAAAACAAGTTCTCACTTTGGCATATCTTTTGAATTTGAATTGACACTATGGATACGAATCTGTATATTCAAATATTTTGGTGTAAGTGTATGTGTTTGTAAGATACACAAGCTTATCCCCTTGCTTCAAGGAAATTTGAATAGCAATCCAAATTTGCAAACAAAGTAGAAGGCAATTATTCTGGAAATTATTAAGAATATGTATGATTGCCATAACATTGGGTATATCCTGGGGGTATAAACAATTGAAGAAAACCTCTAATACTCCGTCTCTTTTATAAATACATACACATTATGTGGGTAGCTCAAGGGCAAAATACATTGAAGATTGATTTCCCAGATTCATTCTGTGTGTTGGAGAAGTGCCCTTCCCAGTAACTCAGAACAAATTGAGGGAGAATTTCATCATGAGAAGATAGGCTGGTATGGGAGAAGTTTAATAAAAAGTATTTCATCCAGATTGCTGATCTAATCCAGATAGAGCTGAGTAACTTTGAGTTTTTCCTATTCAAACTGTGGAAAATTTTAGATTTATATAAGGTCCAGTTAGACTTTCTCCATTTTGTGAATAAAGCATGTATGAATGTTGTTTGGTGAATTCATTATATCAGCCTATATATTGCCCAGAAAAATATTTCCATTTATAATTTTTCTGCCAGCACGTGATGACAGGCTTTATGTGTCAAGGAGATTGAAAAGGACTTATGAAAATATTCAGGACAGCACAGAGGGTTTTTAGGGCAGTGAAATACTCTGTATAATACTATCATGACTTGTATATGTCATAATACATTTGTCCAAATCCATAGAATGTGCAACACCAAGGGAACCCTCATGTAAGCTATGGACCTTGGGTGATAAGGATGGTCAATGTAGGTTCATCAGCTGTAACAAATGTATCAATCTGGTGGTGAATTCTGATAGTGAAGGAGGCTATGCATATGTAGAGCGGGGGTAGATGGGAAATCTTCCATATCTTTCTCTTGGTTTGGCTGTGAAGCTTAAACTGCTCTAAAAAAATGAAGTCTTTATATATATACATGAAGAATATATAAAGCCTCTTGTATTCTGCTGCCTTCCTCCCTTTCTGAACTTACCTGCGACTGTTCTGCTGCATGGAACCTACCCTTCCTGTAATCCAGACTTTTTGCAACATTCTGAACATGCCATTTTCTTTTGCACATGTAGTTCTTTCTACTGGAAATGTCCTTCCTTCTTCTCTATGCACAACTATTTGCTATTTCATCCTGTGAAGCCTAAGAGCTCCATTAATCACTGTCTTTTCCAGGACCAATTTTTGTATTCTCCCATGTGGGTTAGGAATACTCCTCTCTAGTTTCATGGCATAGTGGAATTTTCTGCTCCTACCATATTATTTTGTAAGCATTAGTTTACATATTTTCAGGCATTTAGAAATAATAATCTTGGTTTTGAAAAAATCTCTTTATTCATGATATCTGCATATACAGAAACTCAATAATTTGTGGAGTAAATGAATGGGTGAATGAAAGCTGACACATTGGAAAGGTACTTTGGCAATTCCTTAGCTATGGTAAGACACTGAAAAAACAATGAGGTAGAGTCGTGCCCATACCACACAAAGTCAAAAGTCAATATGATGAATACATACACTGCAAGCTCCTAAGAGATTTAGTTGAAATTATTTATTAAATAAATGCTTTCATGTTCTATTACTTACATCATATTTGTTTTGTCTTCATTTTTTAAGGGAAAAAATTGTTATAGTTTGGTGTCCACCAAACTATAATCTCCAATACAGTAGTGTTGGGAGCTGGGGACTTTGTGAGATGCTTAGGTCATGAGGGCTCTGGCCTCATTCATGAATTAAGGCCATTTAAAAAGGGCTTAACAGAGGGAGTTTGGTGCTGTTTTTGCCTCTTTCATTTCTTCTGCCATGTGAGGATATAACATTCCTCCCCTCTGGATGATGCCTCAGCAAAGCACTATCATGAAAATGGAGACTTGGGCTCTCACCAGATGTCAAACCTGCCAGGACCTTGATCTTGGACTACAAGATTCCAGAACTGTGAGAAATAAATTTCTGTTCTTTATAAGTTATCTAGTCTCAGGTATGTTGCCATAGCAGCATGAATGGATTAAGACAAGAATATTAAAACCCTACCTCACTGGCAAAATGCCCCTGCATACCTGAGGCATGAACATGTGAGCTTGCTTCTTTGCCACCTCTAGTCCATCATAAGAGGTTTTCCAATGGTTTTGAAAAGCTAATGTTTACTTCCCTTGCCTAGCCTTTAACATGGGGTCAGTTACAGAATTTTCAGAGCCCAGTTCAAAATAAAAATGTAGGTCCCTGGCTGGGGGCAGGAAAATCAGTCTCTCATTCCAAGGAAGCCATTGCCCCAACCCAAGGATGAGAGGCAACCTTCAAGGTCTTGCAGTCTTCATGACCGGACCCACTTGGTACCCAGTAAAGGTGTGAGTGAGAGGCCCCCTACTAAGCACACTGTGGTACTACTGGCTCAGTGGAGAGCTGGTTGCCACTTTATTTACGGCACCAATAGAGAAAGGGAGGAAGGTGATTAATATACTTATCTGCCAGAGCAGGCAGGCTTCACAGCCATGGCACCAAAGCAGTAGCAAAGGGCCTTCTATTGAGAAAGGCCCAATATTTGGGGTTCCATGCTCTGTGGTGGCTGTCTTGAGATTCTTAACACTTTTATCTTTGAAACTATTTCGTAAGATATTCAAGGGGAGGATGGGACTTGTGCCTGGAGGCTTGAAGCTTCAGCTCACGTGCATGTGAATTTCTGGGTTATACTCTTGGTAATCCATGTCTTCCCCCTAGAATTCTGGCCTTGCCTGACATCTCCACTCACATGTCCAAGCACCCCACAATGATCTTAGCCCTCTGTCCAGTGGGCAGCCCAGTCGCTTTGGCATGGAAGGGTCCATGTTCTAGCAGGGGCCTCTTCCACGAGCAGGGGTTTAGGCGTGAGCCTGTGGAAGGCTCGGATATTTTTTTAATGACCAAATCTTTGTCATCCTTAATAAACAAAAACAACAAAAGCTCATACTTCTTGTAAGCCTCTGTCTCATCAGACTGCTGTCTTTTCTTCCTTACCCTTCACTGAAAAACTTCTTGAAGCTCCACTGTTCTCCTATTTTATATCTTACTCACTTTTCAACTCACTACCAATTGGTTTCTGCTACCATTATTCTACATTAAATATGTACTGTATTATCAAACCCTGACAACCAGTAAGTCTTAGATTAGTGTCTTAAGAGCTTTAATAATATTGTCTTAATTTTCACAATAATCCTTTGGAGTAAGTACTACATTATATCTATTTCATAGATGCTAAACACAAGGCACAGAAAGATTAAATCATTTGCCTCGGGTAACACAGTGAGTGGTGGTGCCAGTGTTTTAATTCGAGAAATCTAGCTCTAGAGGCCCTGCTGTCACTGCTATGACCTCTGGCCTTGCAAACAGTTCAACTCTGGCCTTCTGACTGACAAATCCAGTGGTTTATTCATTTATTTACATCTTCTTACTATCTAAATGATTTTTCAAACAATGCTGAGCACTTCTTCCTTTTTGAAGCAGTGCTTCTACCTTCAAGGGCAATGTTTCTTCCTGATTTACCTCTTATACCTCCAGTTGTCTCATAGCCTTTTACTTCACGTCCATCTCCTGTTGATTTGCCCCTTACATATTAATGTCCTAAATGAGTCTTTTCCCAGTCCTGTATTCTTTCTGCTCTACAAAATCTGCCTGAATGATCTCTTGGACAGTAGCCACTCTCTTATCTGAGGTCCCCTAACAGGCCTTTTGAATTAAAGAGTCATATCTATCTTTTCTGTGAAAACTAGTGACTCATGCCCAAAGTCTTTGACTGCTTGTGACCAGTTGGCTACAATCTATGTCCTGTCTCTCAACCATCATTTTCCTTTCACCTAGCAGAGTTGTTGTCTCACCCCACCAGTCAAGTTTATTTCCAAGCATGAGTGTTGAAGTCTGTTGGCCCGCTAATGAGCAATATCTTGTAACTGCTGATTCAACCAGCATTTAAACTTGTTACCCTGGACTTCATTTCATGAGAAATTATACATTTCCTCATGTTTTTCTGTTAGTTTTCTTTTCTTTGTGTGTGTGTGTGTGTTACATACTGGTTTGGCCATGAACTTCTAAACCAGGAAATAAGATGCTAAAAATCTTTGTGTCTAGTTCAGAGTCTGTCATATAGGTGTTTGATAAACATTTAACAACTGATATGCTTTGGCTCTGTGTCCCCACACAAATCTCATCTCAAATTGTAATCCTCATGTGTCGAGTAAAGGAGCTGTAATGCCTGTGTGTTGAGGAAAGGAGGTGATTGAATCTTGGCAGCAGTTTCCCCCCACGCTGTTCTCCTGAGAGTGAGTGCATTCTCATGAGATCTAATGGTTTCATAAGGGACTGTTTCCCCTTCGCTTCTCTCTCAATCTCTCTCTCTCTCTCAGCCCCCTACACTGCCATGTAAGATGTGCCTGCTTCCCCTTCCACTATGATTGTAAGTTTCCTGAGGCCTCCTCAGCCATACAGAGCTGTGAGTCAATGAAACCTCTTCCTTTATAAATTACCCAGTCTCGGGTAGTTCTTTATAGCAGCGTGAGAGTGAACTAATAAAATGACTAAATGAAGAAATTAGAACATGAGTTTTCTTAGATATCTACGAGATATTTTCAGTGTACAATTTTTAGAATCAATCTTATACAGTTAGCTAAGCTCATCATGTTAACATTACTAGACCTTAAAAATATATCTTTAAAAGAGAAAAGCAGAAACCACAGTAAGAGAATCTTTTTTTTTGTTTGTTTACTTTTTAGTTTCACGAATTGTAACCTAAAGACCTAGCACAAGATTTGAGATCAGAGGAAAGTGTTGAACCCTTAGGGCAGGTCAGTTATTACTAAAAAATGAGTCTTTATTTACCAAGAGGAAAAACTAGCAAATCAAAAGGGAAATGATTTTCATTTTTATGAAAGAATTTCAGTAGCTATTAGTATTGGTACATTAATAACTTAGATAACATGCGGTGGGAGCAGCCTGCAGATTTGGCCTTAGACAAAATTGTAAACAGACAAAGTTCATCTACACAGTCTCTCTTTTGGTTTTTCTTTCTTTTTCTATCTCCTTGGCCAAGTTTCCAGCCATTATGTTGACTTTTAATTACCCAGTTTCTACTGCTTTCTTAGCTCACCTGTGTCTTCCCTGGGTCTTTCCAGTACCTTGTCTAGACATTGTTTCTTCTTTCCCTCTCCAGAAGATACTGCGCTGACATGAAGAGGCAGTAACTTTAGAGTTTAAAAAATTAAACTGTAAATATTCTACCTATTAGTTGTGCCATCCTTCTAAATCAGTTTTCTCACTTGTAAAATAATACCAGCTACCTAATAGGATTATTGGGAAAGTTAGGAAGCTAAGGTAGCAGAGAGCACAGAGTAAGCACTCAAATGTCATCTACTGTTGTATGCCTGGGTACATGACCTTGGAACAACTGCTCATCGGTTAAATGGGGACAACATTCACTACCCTAAAAGATTGCTCTGATGTTAAATAAAATAATGTATGTTATGTGTCTAGCACAGAGTGTGATATATGATAATCTGGATAATAAATTAGTTGAAATTATAATTCTTTGATTGTCTTAAGCGTTATCTACTAAAGGTTTCATGTCTCCTAATATATAAAGCAAGTTAACTAAGTTTCATATACATTTCTGAAATCATGGTAAAACAAAAGGCAGAAACTAGAATACTTTTAATATTAGCGTGACTGGTTCTAAGCTAAAGAAACCAGCATGGTTTATAAGAGGAAAGATAAGAAGACTGAGGGCTGGGGAACTCCAACCTGCAGAATTTGGGAGAATCAGGAGTGACCAGCCCAGGAGATGAAGAAGGTGGTGCCAGTGAGGTCTGGGAGCATGTGATGCCTTGGAAGGTAGGTGAAGGAGGAGTTTCAAGGAGGGGAGTGATCAGCTGCATCATATTGTGCTGCTTGCTCAAAACATAAAAGACACTAATTTACTATCTAATACTTGAAAGTTTTCCTTGATGAGTGTTCATAATTTTGCATCTGTGTAAAATAATAAAACCCATGTCCTCCTTTTTTGGAGTGTGGCATACTATTTACCAATACAGGTCATACAAGGCAAGGTTTTCAGAAGCCTTCTATTTGCCCACATACTCACTTGTCTTTTCCCCTTAGGCCTAATTTCTGACGTTTCCCTCTCGATAAGATAGCATCAAATTGTTCCATTTGAGCCAATTACAGTTTCTGGAGAAAGCAGGTTTTAAACCTGTCCTTAATCCAGTCATTTGTGGCAAGTGAAAGTTTTACACCAAAATTGCCGGTTTGGATAAACACTGAAGAGCAGCCTATCTTACTGGGCTGTTTATAAATGGAAAGCTTATCAGTTTGTGGGGAAATACTTTATTTTAAAACTCCAAGATATTGATAAGCACCTTCCAAACTAGGTAAACCTCAAGCTTGAACTATGTTCCAGTTTATTAGGTAGAAAATAGTTAATACCATGACGTTTGCTTTGAACACTGTTCTCCACTTTGAACTCAGTAATTTCATACTTTCAGAGGATAGATGGCTGAAACTTCCTTAGCAAAATGGACAAAGCTTTCTAACATGGGGATGGAAGATAATGGCAGAGAAGTCAGCTCTTTCTGGTTTTCCTACTTATATAAACCTGAGAAATTAGATTTGTCAAAAAGGAGTATTTTGTTTATATTCTAAATTTGCATTATATGTTTTGCAGTTGATGTCATGGCATCCCCCAAAGAAGGTGGAAAAAGAATGTGTTTTGCAACAAGGGCTAATCGAGTTTATTACATGTAAACCATTCATAAAACATGGAGCTAAAAGAAACCTTTTTTTTTTAAACATTGTTGATTCTAACCAAGTCATCTTTATACATCGTCCCTCAAACTATGGGATTATACTGCGATTATGGCTCATTAAACCATTCATTGGATCTTATTATTCTGTGCTATGCCTTTTTATATAGATTATCACATTTTTTCCTGGGCAAAATTGCCCTAATTTCTTTGGGGTTTGTTCCTTCCTCCCTATTTCTTATCCCTTTAACCATTTAGGTAATCTGCTGAGAATTTTTTTTTCTAGCATACTTCTAAAATATCAAGATTTGTTATTTGCTCAACAACAATGTTCTTAACATCTTTTCTTTGTTTTCCCATTAATAAAGTGGGATTAATAATAGCATCTAGTTTACGGCAGTGTTAGGAGGAATACATTGACTAATCTCTTTAGAAAGAGCATGACACAGAATAAGTACTATGGAAGTGCTCAAAAATTAAAGGAATTTATTTATATAATCTCATAACACCATAGATGTGTGTAATCAATTTACTTTATCTCTATCTTGTACACATTTTTTCTAGCTCAGTCTCAAAACTTTGAGAAAAGCCATGTCTTATTATTAGTATTATCTATAGTTGTAAAAGTGAGGCATAAATATTTATGATCAAATTTTGCCAGTCTTTGTAACTGTATATGTGTCTCTCTAATTGATAGAGATAATCAAATTGAAAAAATTATCTAAAGCATGGTTAAAAGAATAAAAGAACATATCAATTACTGACTTTTTAAGAAGAACACAAAAAGGTACACTAAAATTAATTCTAAATTGATTGTCTAAACTACCCTACACAAAGACATTGAAGATTCTGTTTCATTAAAAATGAATTATTACAGTAAGTTTAAATCTATAAAGTAACACAAAGTTATGAACATTAGACTAACGTTTATTCATTAAATTTACAGAAGAGATCACAAAACACATAGTAGTATTAAGATATAAGAAGAAATTTTATAAATCAAATTATGAAAATGTTGGGTGAAATAACTAGAGTAATCTAGTTTCTTGCTTCTCAAGGACTGCCAGACTCTATTTCTGCTTTGCTCTTTCATTGTTTTTTGCTGTCTTGTTATACACAAATAGAAGATAGAAGAGTCAACTTAAGACGTTATAAAAGTTATTGTGTAAAAATTTTAGTTATCTCAAAATAATTGTAAGCATCCTACCTTTACATTTATGTTGAACGGGGATTTTGGATGTTAAATAAGGTTATGCAGGTAGATTCTGGAACACAGCTGCTCACAGCATGGGTATGAGGGACATGGGAGGAAATCATTCATGATCAACCTCCAGAAAACTTACCTTCCCTTTACCCTCCTGGGCCAATTGCACAAACATTGTGGTTCTTAGGTCATTTATTTTCTGAGTTGTTCTCATTAATTATACCTTCACTTAAAATCATTTACATTCAATTCATTTTATGTTTAAATTAAATTTGCAGACTTCGTTCCTTCACTTCCAAATTCCATTTCTAAGATTTCTCCAGTAAAAAATTCTAAATGATATTTATTGTAACATTATTTGTAGTTTTCACTGTCCACAGAGAAATGACTAAATATATTTATATTTTAGAATATTGTGTAGTCATTAAAACAAATAAATTAGCCCTCTTTCTATCAGCATGCAATGTTGTCCAAAATACATTAAATGAAAACTGCAAGTTGAAAGACAGTAGAATAATTCTTATCCTTTTTCTGTTAAAAAAATAAAAAAAACCATAATTTGAGTTAACACAGATAAAAATGTGTGCTCAGAAAAAGCTACCAGACTATAAATTGTGGTTCTTCTTCAGAGTGAGATGGGACAGAGGGAGTTTCACTTTTATAAATTTCTGTGCTTGTTTTTGAATGAGCAAGTGCCAATTTTCCAATAAAATGTGTGTGTATATTTAATTATATGTTTAATTGAAACAGTAACACAATTCTTGAAAACAGTAATATAGGTATATGGGAGTGTATGTGTTTATATACATATACGTCCATATAACGATTTAGACAGCATCTTTTTTTTTTTTTTTTTTTTTT